CCCTTCCTGTAAACTGTTTTCTCCCTAAGTATTAAATTGTAATTATTACTTCTATTTTATATAAAATAAGACGTGTTAGATCATGTGGTTAAGTATCTGTTCTCACTAAATCATAAACACTCAACATTATTTACTTGTGGGGAATGTTATGTGACCAGCACAATCCATTAAAAAGGAATTCATTTTAAATTTATAAAATGATTTAAATGTAATTTTCGAGCCGATTTCCGTATTAAGTCAGTGCAACTTTCATTGTGTTAAATAATTTGGTGTGATTCGCACTAATTTAACTTTTGAATTAGTTCGCTATAATTTTCGTTCAGCAGGACATTCATCTGAACTAATTTTGTGTAAACTTCATCTAGTGGGACAAATGAATTAACTAATGATTGCTACGATAAAATCTGTATATAAATAAATGTATTAAAATGGGTCTCTATCAATAAAATTTCCCGGCAATCTTTAACTTCTATTTATAATTAGTGGGCCGGGAAAAAAAGGATAATCAGTCTCGTTCAGTATTATTAAGTCTGTCACAACGTAGGACCTGAAGCTTATGTACAAGTTGTCACACCCCATCAACTCAGAGAGGTGAAATTATCATACCAAATCCCAGAATAGTAAAGGTAGTATCAGTAGTAACTCCTCGAAGATTTCATGCAGTTGGTTCCCTTTATGAATTTAAATAAAGCCAGAACAAACGTGGATGCAGAGCAATATTAGTTCATTACATCTCGTGGTTTCTGATCAGCTGCTTACAACCGTATATGTACTGAAAGTTTACATTGAAGATACAGTGTGATGCAGTTGACGTAGATGAATGAAAAGAATCGGGATGATAAAGTTAATCAATAGTAATTTTATATATGTTCAGGAACAGGTCGGGGTTCTTTTGATATTGGAATCCAAGAAATAAGGGGTGGGTGATGCACTAATTAAGGTTCAGAGACAGATCAGTCAGCTACAACGTAGGACCAGCTACGTATATGCATCGGTTCAAGTTGCCGCTTGGAAAGACACAAGATAAATTGCATGATAATCTTAGAGGTTATGAATGGTTTCCATAATATTCATGGAATTAAAAAACTGGTAAGATGGGTTGCGCAATAATCAGACAGGATTTCGAGAGTTTATATAAGTTAAGTGAATGCGAATATATGAGTGAAAGGGTGGTTTTAATGTACAGAAAATAAGAATTCGGCGAGGCAAGACCATAAAGAAATGATTTACCAGGGTAGGAATAGGTTTACTACTGTTTCTTTTTGGATACATAATTCAGGTTTGAGTTTTTTATCGCTGTTGTTTCAGCAAACCGAAGAGACGCCGTGTTCTTTTGTCTACTAATAATTCTGAAGGCTTGAGAAATGTCAATTGTGTGCCTGGTATCAAGTAAATGCCGAGCTATTGCACTGTTAAGTCATTACCCCTCAAAGTCTCAATTTCCCTAGAACATGCTCGGAAATGTGGACATGTACTCTCCTCACTGGCAATAGAAAAAACGTAGGCACCGAAGGTGCGACGCGAGGAAAAATATTTGAATTGACGAGATTAAAGCAAAAAGGAGGTTATGGAAAATTCGAAGTCTCAGAATTTGGGAGAGATAAATAATGGATGCGTTTAAGCCATTGCAAACGATTTTGAGCCATGTCATAGTCTCTAACCATTGGTTACGATAATCACACGGACAGAAATCGGTCAGTCTACACCTATTAACATGGCTATGTTCAGTCACTGGTGACTTCATGGACTAATCCCATTCTTTCGTCTAAGTACTTCTAGCAAATTCCTGCATCAGAAATTATCACCCTTTAAGGTAGGTGGTGATTGGGCGTACTGAACATTATTATTAAAGCCGGAGTTAGAAATTATTAATGAAGTAACCAGACGTTATTTTTGAGTAGTTTCCAACAGGTCTCCATGCACAGAACTGTATGATAACACCTAGTAGTGGTATTATTGTACTATAAATGTGAAAACTATCTTCAGTAAAAGATTGTCATCCAAGAAAGAGTATCTTGGTTCATTTTACAATGGTTTATCTGCACTTCATGTCGCATATCCAAATAAAGCCGACAAGTTATTTGGTATCAGGGTGCGCAATCCAGTTATATATTCCTGGGAACAAATTCATTTCGGAGTAATACAAAGGGCACAAATCACTGGTTACGATTAAATGACCTATCTCTCGTTTGTAAAATATCTGGTAACTACACTTTTATTAATATCGCTATCATCCAAGCAAACATTTTTCAGTACATGCATCAAAATCTAATTACACTCTTATTTCAAAGTGTTATTTATATATTCACTGTAACTGCTTGTAGATTGATAAATAATATTAACAGCGACATAACTTAAGAGTAGGAATAATTTATATTATATTATCAAGTACTTGGTAAAATTAACTGGGATCAGTTTATCTCTGAGACTTTTCTATCCTACGTTTTCAAATATCATTAAATATTAGACCAATAGGGGGTGGTCAGGATTCCTGAAGTTCTCAAAAAATATATTTTGTCCTGTTTTATAGCGAACTCGAAGCGCTGAAGGAGAGAAAAAAGGTTAAAAAAACGACGGAAATCATAGTAAACTAGTGGGTGTATTTATTATACAATCGGAACTGCTTGGAATCTAAGATTAGCTAATTGAAATTAGTAAATCCGTAATTCAAAGTCAATCAATTGAATGTTGCGATCAATAGAAGTGTTAATGGTGCATAAATATTTCTGGATGTGATCATCTTCAAAGGTTTAGTCTGTTCAATAGCTCTACCAAAATAAATCAGTGAATTAGTTTCTGGAGCGAATCAGAGGCCGGTTAGAATATATTATAAACTAATAATCTGGATTAGGATCTGACCTGATTGCTAAACTCAAGCTGTTAACGTTTATTATTGATGACTTTCAACTTATATAAATAATCTTTACACACACAGTAATATTCAAACAAACAGTAATATGTAGCATAAATCATGAAAAATACAACAATTAACTATATGCAATTACAGTTCATTGATTGTTTCACTGGATGTTAGCCGAGTTTTTATTGGTTGTTAATATTCTTTCTAGAAATGACACTTTCTATCAAGATTTACGAAATCTATGCTTATATTAAACATTTAAACAAATCTTCCTACAGTCTACTGAATATGATGGGAGGGGGGAATAAGTAAATATTGACTGTTTTTATTTGAGCTGGTTTTCCCGCAATAATAAACAAACCTTTGTCACTATAGTGACATTTCTGTTAAGTATGAATGAAATAAAGATATATATGTTTATATTTAACAAATGATATATTACCTACTGTTTCCCCCTATAATATTCAATTTATATCCTATTGTTCAAGGTCAAATTGTTGATTAATTAATACTCAGACTGATATAATTCATTTCATACATTCACAAAATTGGTAATAAAATTTATTCCGATTGAACCTTTTCAAGTATTTTGTCTTTTAATAATCCGCATTCATTTCTAACACTTAAGATCAGCTATGATTCTTTTTCTTCTTATCTGCTCCTTTTATTACCTTATTGTTCTCTTAATGGAATAATATAAATAGTTATCATGAATCATATTATCACCGTCACCATAATTTATACTACTTATCGAAATTATCCATTAAGAAAACATGATAGAATTATTAGCTGAGATCCATACATGTAAGTGATATGTGTGCATTTTCGATTACAGTGATAATATTTTGACAAATGTCATATCTAGTCTTTTGTCAACTTGAATTTTAAAAAAAATTTTAATTATGATGAAATTTCCAAAATAAAATTATTAAGTGACAAAATACTACATTAATATAATGATTTAGTAAATAATGGATAGTGGCTAGCAGTAGAATCCAGGACGCGCGTTTCGTCCTATTTGGGACTCCTAAGCTGGGCGTACCTTCATCTCAAAGTTGATGTTCACTTTGCGACTCGGACCCAAATAATACCAAGTGAATTGAAATTCACCCCATCGCACAAGCAAGTGGCTATCAGGACTCAGTAGCTAAGTGGATAACTTCGATGGCGTTTGAAGCGAATGGTACTGGGTTCGAGTCCCAGAGTGAACATCAACCTTGAGATGAAGGTACATCCAGCTGACGAGTCCTAAGTAGGACGAAACGCGCGTCCTGGATTCTACTGCTAACCATTATCCATCATTGCTTACAAAAGGCTTGTGAATCAAGGCAATATCGAGGCATACGCACAGTATGCACATATGCCGATAACAGACTGATCAATTGCAGTCTTAAACCTCAATGGGAAGATACAAGCTAAATAATACCAAGTGAATTGATTTAGTCAATAGTTAATTTAATCATAAATTAATTGAGAGAAAATACAATTAACGGTCATTCACTGTAAATTAATGATTTGATTAGACCTATTTAATTTGTCTATATTGCCGATAGTTTCAGGAAATAAATAAATCTTAAAAATCATATTTTTATTCATGATTCACTCAAAACAAATCAACCTTCTATTGTCAAGCTTTACATACACCTGGTACCAATCAAAATAAATCTTGAAAAGCTAACTAACTGAATTGGACCGAGATCAAGTAATCCTGAATCATTTGAAAAACTCACGTTTTCATGGCATCCCAATCACGAGGGTGTGCGAAACACATGATGTTCAGCAAACAAGTTCAAGTTGCTCAACAGAATTTCTAAAGTTCCTAGCGTCAAATTTTGACAGGGACTTTGAAAAGTAGTCATAAGCAACATCTGTCTAGACCAACGTAACTATTCATCTGTTCCTAGATTTGAATGGTTTCTTGGCAATTAACGAACCCGGCCTCAAAGTATCGTTGAATAAATAACCGCTTAAAATTCCCTGTATTATTAACCAAATAAACATATATATTACTAGTACATGTCTTATTATCATTATGATTGCTATTAAAACCATTAATATATACCGTATATAACAACTATATTTTATTACACATCCATAAAAGAATGATACTAAACATTTTCACTAAAACTTCATCCATTAGGAATCGATGAATCCTGAATCAGATCAAAATAAGTTGCTACAAAAATTTAAAAATTTACGCAAAGAACCACAAAAACAAGTAGACTATTTAACAAATGCAATAAATGATATCGAAGAAGTAAGTTTTATACAATAAATATACAATATCGTTTCATTATTATCTTGTTTTTAAGTTATAGCACAGTATATCTATGCAATTATGTTCAACTTCATGAATTTACCAACAACCCTTAGTCAGTCACTTATCAATGTATGGGGATTTGTGAAGATTGTAGTTGTAGTGTAGTGAACGAGAAACAGGTGGGAACAATCGAATGCATTTAAATACAAAGTTACAGAACGTGTTAGTAAAATCTGAGAACTATGCAGTAAATACTGCATCTGAAAAATGTAAATTAATCGTCTCAGACTTGATTGTCCTTTCGTTTCCAAATCAACCATTCTCTGTTCTCGTTCTCCTGTATTCGATCTTCTTCACCTTCTGCCTCCAGGCGTTTCACTATCGATTGATGATACACACTACATATATCTGTCGACATCAGTAGCAAATACCACAGTAGGAGTTCCATACTAGGACGAAACGGCCGTTCAGTACTTAGAGGTTTTCAATGATGGTCTAGCTTCAATCGATTCATGAATCCAACTTTGAAAATTTTCAATGTCGTTTGAAAAAAACTGTTATAAAGTTGGTTGTTTAAAATGTAACATATTACACTATATTACTATAAACGGTAGATATCATAAAAACTGTAAATGGATAAAGTAACATTAATCTATTTCATGCAATATTCTATCTTATTAGACTAATACTTTAAGGTACAACTGTCAACAACTTTTTGAAACTAAATTTACTTCATAGTATGGAATGTTCAAACAAGTTCATTAGAATGAATTGATCTAGAGCTTATACAATAACTGATAAGTCCAGTGCAACTTGAATGGTTGATAGTATTCCCTAAAACGAGTTCAGAGAACACAAGTCCACTAAGATTATTCATCTGAGTAATAAGTCTGCTTCATTATAATACACCAGTTTAATATTAACATAATAGATATTTTTAAATGCTACAAATTGTCACCGGAACATTTTCACAGTTAATGATAAAATCTATACATGTTAACTTTACTTCGAACTTGTCCATCTACTTGGACAAGAAATTATTAGTTATGAAAGTTTAGAAAATGTTCAACATTACTACAACAGAAAAGCTTCCATAAATAAATAAGATCTCAATCAGTAGGAAACAGAATGAGATCAATAAATGGTGATCATTATGTTGGATAGTATTTCACCGATTCATGTTTGCTAAAATACTCATTAACATCAAAATCTCACGGTATATCGAAGACAGATAAATGACGCAAGATTTTGACTCAAAATAGTCAATTAACACAAATTTTGTACGAAACTTCAAGGGCTGAAGCAAGGTCATTCTTATGATCTGTTTCAACTGTATTTATTAAGTCATTTGATTTTATTTTATTTTTGTGATAATTCGTTCTCACCCTAAAACGACTCTGGTGGTATTTTTTTGTTATCCAACATGGTGAGTTTCACATTATTTTTCAGATTTTTTTTTATCATCTTTGTTTCTTCTTAACTTCCGTTTGTCTAGTTGACAATTTACTTCCCATATATAAATGTTCTTAACAATAGCATGTGTGATCCGATCGTCCGACATGTATTGTGCTAATTCATTACATAGTTCTGTTAATCTTCGTCTTCTTATTACATTATTCAAACTCATCAAAAGGACTAACTGTTATAAAATGCATGTTGCTAAAATATTCAGAAGTTTCGAAATGAATCGGCAACAAATCAGCTATCAAATTCACCCAAAAGTCACAAGTAAACATTAAGATACTATATTTTTCGAAATATACTCAGTTTGTAGATAGTTTGTATCCTGAAATGATATCCGTTGATGAACCACTGGAAAGCCCTAAGGGATAGAGTAGACTGTTTCTAAATTCTCAACATTGCACAGCCAAGACATCATACTAGATTTAGCTGAAAACCATTAAACTTTCAGACAAATATATGAATCCGATTGTCTAATTTTTGAATTTATGATTTGTGAAATGAGATTTATTCATTATAACACAGTTCGTACTTGTTAACATATTTTATTTATTTCCAGAATCTTATTCGAAATAAAGAAAGTTATAAAATACAAATGCAGAAAATCGATCAACTATTTCGAGCTAATGTGAACGATCTTAATGAACAGATAAATGTAAGCAATGTTACATTTTGAAAAAAAAGAATATTCATCATCTATGATGATTCTATAGTCTGAAGACCACTCTGAATATGAACCTTACTAAAAAGATGTTAAAATTATAATCCAAGCACATTCTATGAACGATGGACAGTTTCTACAAACTTCCCATTCATGTCAGTCTGTTCTCAGTAAATATATCGATACAGATCCAATCCATTAATCAGTCAGCACCAGTTTAAAAAATCATATGATTATATACCAGTTCAAGACAAATGTTAATAGGAATGTCAATAGATATGAAGATAATAGAGCTTTTAAGTATAAATTATCATCAACGGGTGGTCAAATTAGACTGAATCTCCACCAGTAGATTGCTCACCTCTGTCTTAGATAGAACGTTAATGATCCTATCTCTGAACACGATGGTTTTATTGCACGCTTCCATTATCATTCTGGACATCATTTGCGCTTCATTAATTTTAATCATAATAAATCTTAAGATAGAAATTATTTAGGAATTAACATTGATGATAATATCAAATTAGAATCAATAAATGAGAATACTGATTAAGATTGATCTTCACTGGAACAAAGCCTCAGTTTCTTGGTTCACACTAGTTTTAATATGAAATTAGTATGTTAATCGGAATAAAAGGTTTGCTTACATTTTTCAATTCTGTAAAAATAGCCTTCTTCCACATAACGAAATAGGATAAACTGGATCAGGGAACATTTGGACGATTGTTGCTCTTGATTTTCCAAACTCTCTCGAGTTATAATTAAAACGCTTATAAAATAACCAAAACAAACTTGATCTTTAGGTTTTTATGAGTATATTCGTAATACCAACGGTTTGGATACTTAAAAACAAATACTTTGAAAAGTCTTACTAGGATTAACATCATTAAGTAGTTGTATTCAAATAACCGAACATGTAAGATCTAGATTAGTTAAAAGGATGTGAAAAAAAATTGTTTTTGTTGAATTGTTCCCTATTTATAAACTGTGTACGTGAAATGTTCAATTTTCATTAATACAAATTATTTAGCAATTGAAAAGTGACCTTGAAATTCAGTCACTTCATTTGAAACAAATTGAAAAGTGGTTAAAAGCAACACGGGGATGGATTTTAATTCGAAAATATTTGTATAAACAGAAATATCGTAAATGGAAAATGGAATTGTTACGAACTCATTATCATGTAGGTTTTATCATATTTATGTTGTGACTATTGAAGTGAAACTATCTGAAACGTCGCTTCAATCATCAATAGAAAAAAATATTTTTCATTGGTAATTTACTGAACCTAATTCGTGATCTTTCCTCGATAATTATACTTCTAAATAAGAAAGATTGGTTCAATAAAACGTCCTCTTTTCGGAGAATTCAAAGATGCCTAGTTACTACCAAGTATTATAATGTGATATTATATTTCCAGTAATGAATAATCAGTGAATTTATAATGTTTAGTTAGACTGAGTAAATAAAATAACAGAAAGCAATACTTGAAAATAACGAGACAGTAATTTACCTTTATGTCCAAATTGTATACTAGTAGTTAAAAATCGATTATCTCTTGGACACTTCAGTTAACAACATTGAATTTATAGGTAAGGGCAAAAGTGTGGATACCTCGTTAAAAAAGTTATACTAAACTTATCAGTATCCAGTATTTTAGAGCAATTTTCAGATTGAATCTGTTTATTGATTTGATTTATGATAAAGATGTTCTGAATTAAAACAATAATTTTCAAGATACGTATTCCAATGTGAAAAAGTTACAATTATGTGAATTTAATAGTCAATAATGGATAATCCTGCTACTTATTTCCTAAACATCATTATTTTTAAGTCAGTTATTTAGAATTATGAATTTAGTAGTCATTTCCACTGATTCTTTATTTCTACCGTTCACTCAATTAGCTAATTTCAACAACTCATCTCCTTGCACTAAAGTATTAAAGTTCCACCAGTAATGAGAAGGATACTAAATGAATCAAACGGTCGCCCGATATTCGGATTAGTCCAATTTACCAAATTAAATTTTAAACTTTCCATACTGCCACACATAGAGATGTTTCCTAAGAAATTCTAAATTACTTACATTAGTTTAAATAAAATAGCATTTCTATATAATTAACTTGTTATTATATTTTTTTTATTCAGATTGAAGATGCATATGAAGCATTCAATAAAACTGTATTCGGTAATGAAGCTAATCATCCAATATGGAAAGTATGTACAAATTCATTAGCAACAGTACAATATCCTACTTCTAATAACTGGATAAATGAACAATCTTGGCTTCATTATAGAAAACAAATTATTGAATCACAATTAAGTACAAAAAATAAAGATGAAATAAAATGCATTCAACATAGATTACGTAGTCGTAAAATTACTCAACAAATACTTAATCATTATTCTAATAGAGAATCTCATGAAAATAATGAAGATTATGTTGATGAAATTAATGAATCGAAGCAACAAGATGAATTAACAAATTATGCTTACAGTATAAATCATCCATTACATATACATGAGCAACAATTGATGAATACATTTAATCAAATAAAAACTGTGCAATATTTAAATCTAATTGAATTAAATGAAAAAGAGAATGATTTACATTCATTACTGTAAGTTTGTTTTTCATTTTAATAGACTGGTTATATGCAAAAAAAGATAATCCTCATAGAATAAATACAATATTAAAAAACACCATCTGTAAACCTTTAATTTAAAGATATTGTTGGTGATATAATGAAAAACTATATCTGACGTGGATGTCAGGTCAAAAGACAGTCTGTACAGAAAATCTTTCTATCAAAACAAAATCGCCCTCTGATTAAAAGCTAGGTTATAACGACTGGCCAATTTAATGTTTATTTTACTGTTCACCTACTTTTATGAACCTTAGTACACAAGCCATCCGCTGTAGATACATTTTCCTCTTATTGAAAAATATCTACTATCATGACTTAACAAAGAAAAACACAGGTTAATGATGTTCTCTATTCTACGGCGTATAATATGTTCATGGAATCCAGCTTTAGATACATTCTTCGATAGCATTTACTAGACGGGCGAAAAGATTAGGGGTGTTGTATGCCTCAAAGTACCTTATATTACAGATGCATAACCGATTTACGTACTGAAACATGAATTATGTACTAAAAGATTTATATTTTTAGACGTTAATTTTTATATTTAGATGTGCATATTTTCATTAACCAACCCAGTATTTTTTATTGTTTAGTAAAAGGTAATAACAGCGTTGCTCTACTTGCACTTAAGTCTGCGAAGAAAGGCTTAATCCCGTGAATGAAATCGCTAGACACAGGTGAAACCGTCGGATGAAAGCTGACAAATCATTTGTTTTCTTTTTTAAAACGAGAACAGAACAATCTGAATCGATACAGTGGTTAACACTGACCTCAAAATGGAATTTTTAAATACTTCCTCACGTTTAGTTAAGGGTATAATCTTCATATAAAATAGAGTTCCTATCTATTAAAAGACGTAACACAGTAATGTTCAAGTTAATTTTATGATAAGTGTTGACAACCAGGAAACTATTCATCGAGAATTTTCTCTTTTACCTAATGTATATAACTGTTTTCTAATGATTTGCAGTTACTAATAGGTATTCTGTTTATAAATTTCTAGGACCATAAAACCCTAATCGTATGATACCGAAACAGCTTCACCAAATCATTATTAGTACGTTGATACTTAAACTTTAATTCTGAAATTGCCAGAAAAATGAAACAAACTGATGAATCTTGTTTAAACTACCACAAAATATCACTATTTTATTGTGTCCCAAGCACTATTATTAGTTGACAAAAAAGTTAAGAACTGTAACATATAAAAGATCTACTAATTACTTTTGTTTAATATTTTTGAAAAATAAAGGACCGAAACTCCTCTGATAATTAAACCGTCAGGTACATATCATTTTATATCTTCTGGAGGACCTTAAATTTTATGTTTACCACTGAATAATCAACGAGTTTCGGGGATAAAAATAAGCTATCTGAAATTCTTTACTATACAGTATAAAATATTTTGAAACTTACTGAATTTGTATTTTAAAAAGTTTACTTTTGATTTACAGAACACACATTAGGAATCTGAAATTTGATCTTGATAATGAATACACAAAATATACACAAATGAGTTTCAATGAAATCGACAAGAAGAAACAACAGTTGATCAACGTAAGTTTCTTTTTCCTTCGTTTTTTCCCCATTAAAATTAATTCAGTTAACTTCTTGACTCTTTTTTTTAAATTATAGTTTTCAAAAGTACTAGATGAATTAGAAGAAGAAGAGGCTGTTGAATTCAACAATTTAATTAGTAAAGCAAGAAAAACAAATGAAACAAGGATTGTACTTAAAAAGGAGTTGAAATATTTAAGAATTAGTCAAAATATCAATGCTATGCATCGTTTTACTTATTTTGATTATAGGTATAATTTACCTTTATGCAAATTATAAAACAAAGTTATATTTGTTCTATATAATTGTGGTATTTGTACTAACTGATGATTCATTTGTACTTGATTACGCGCTGATTACAAATTACAAATAATAATACATTCATTTGTGTTCATCTAATTCTACCTACCTTAAATTGCACTATTTTTGGAATTCGTAGTTATCACATTTTTGGGGTCCCTTATTTAGATGTCAATTAGATCGGACGATTTATTCACTATATTTTGTCCATATGATGACAGTATTTCTTAAAATATATTAGAGTTTCACTAAATTGGTAAAATATATTTTTTAATTAATCTAAATGCGAAAAATTATATGTAAAGAATTATCATGATACACAGCAATATATGTGAATTCCCAGTAAAGATTGTTATTTTTTGTATGTTTCTGTTATAATAACATAGCGAACAACAATTCAATTTTTTTTGTTTTAAAAAGAAACATTATCACTAAGAAGACAAAGATCATTAGAACTAGGTGGTATATTAGCGCAATACATTTCGAACAATCTGGTCACACATGTACTTGTTAAGAACTTACATATATATATATATATATATATATATATATATATATATATAAGGTTGACTAGACATATGGAGGTTAAGTGGAAACAGAGGAAATAACGTAGAAAACGATATGAAACTCACCATGCTCAGTAATGAACTTATATTATCAGAGTAGGTTTAAGGTGAGCACAAACTATTTTTGAATACATAAAGGAGGTTCGACTTTTCGTATGACTAAGGCTTCAATAAGCCTTAGTATACGCCCTTTAACACATTTGTCCAACACCATTAAAACCAAGCTAAGATTAAACTTGTGACCTGTTGCAACTATATGTTCGACAATAGAGGATCACGGATGTTTATCATCTACTCTTATTGGGTCATTTGATTTTATTTGACACCTTAATTTGGTGATCACAATAACATCCCTATTTATGTGTGGCCACACACACATTTAAACTGGTAAATGCGGTGGGATGTGACGCAATCATTTTCATGTCTTTTAGGTTTTCGATGAAGCATGAACCTTGTTATTTCCTTGATAATGACCATCACTGAGTAATACGTCTTGTTAATGACCGATTTAAGCGTTTGTTTTAATAAAAGGCTATTTGAATCACCTCTAAATAGTCTGGTGATGTCGACACTTTACATCTAGGTTTTTTTTCTGCCAAGGCTATAGTACGTCTCACTGTACCAAAAAATTTCCATCTATTTAGAAATTTAAGGGGATAGCCACTTCCCATTAGTGCTTTGTTTAACAACCTAGCATCATCATCAATAGCGCCATTTGTGCAAAAGGGAATATACTAAGGTTTATTGAAGCCTTAGCCCTACGAAAATTCAAACCCCCTATGTGTATTCAAAAACAGTTTGTTCTCAACCTTAACCAACCCTAGTAATATTAGCTTATTATCCAGAGTGGTAAAGTTTTGTAGTGGCATTTAATATTTAAAATGAATAGAAGATATAAGGTATCATTCATCATGGGCCACACCTGCATGGCCGAGCCACGCCGTTCGATCAACTCCAATTAATTCAATCATTCTTCCCGCCTTCTCCATCGTTAGGTATTTCTCCGCGTTAAATATTGAATATCTATTTCCCGAGTTGTCTCATGTTCAGCTTTGAGGATTGTATGGTTATGGTCCAATGCCACTACAGTTTCAAATTTTTCGCATTATTTTCTTTATTATCCTTGTCCTCTCTTACTCTCCATTTCTATTTCAATTGACCTTTCATTTTTATATATAAATGTTCTTAACAAGTGTGTGTGATCAGATTGTTTGAAATGTATTGCACTAATATATCACATAGTTCTGATAATCTTCGTCTTCTTATTACACTATCAAAATTTATCAAAGAGACTAATTGCTTTAAACATATTATTTCAATAGTTGAAATCATGAGTCAGTTGAAGCTAGACCACCATCGAGAACCTGGAGGCACTGTACGACCATTTCGTCCTAGTATGGGACTCCTCAGCAGTACAAATCCACGATCTCGCCCCGCGACACTCGAACCCACGATTTATTGGTCTCGCGTGCAAACGCTTAACCTCTAGACCACTGCGCCAGCATCCAACGGTGTCAATGTCTAACTTCAACCAATCCACGAAATTGAGCCACCGTCCACCATTGTGATAACAATCAACTGCTCACTAGTGACTGACTTCAAGAGGCATTCCCTGGAGTTCTAGATAGAAGCCGCGACCAGTAGAGTTCAACCAGGTATTTGTGAGATATCAGCTAACTGAAGACAACAGCGTACGGTGGCGCAATTTCGTGGATTAGTTGAAGCAAGACATTAACACCGCTGGATGCCGGCCCAGTGGTCTGGTGATTAGGCTACTGGAGAGAGACTGATAGGTCCTGAGTTCGAACCAAGCGAGGGGCAGGATCGTGAATGCACGCTGCCGAGGTGTCCCACAATACGACGAAACGGCCATCCATTGCTTCCGGGTTTTCCATGGTGGTCTAGCTCCAACTGACTTGTAGTGACTCACATGTATCACGAGGACACGACTGGTTTAATAAAAACGATTATTATTATAATAACCAACTGTACCAGTGCTTGTTTTAATGTGCTTTTGTTTAACTGTGCTAATTATAGCCATTTTGTGCTTCCATTACCTTCCATCATTGTTTCGCGGTTTTTGGTACTGTTCGCACGTTCTCCTTTCTCCTGTTTCCACTTGTACCATTCCTTGGCACGATCTTGGTATTCGTTCGATACCACGAGGTCGCCAACGAAATAAACCTGGTTACGTTCGACCTTCGCCTTCTGATTTACTTGGCACGTGTTTCTTGGTAGCGGCGTTCATAGTCAATCTCGACTCGACGCCACGCTACAGACTCATGGTTTCAACTATTGAAATTACTAAAATCTTCACAAAACCCCTTGTGATATTATTATTAATAAGTCCAGGTACATTTAATTAGTTTGGTTAACATCAGCACTACACTATTATCAAATATATTTACTTTTAAAGTGTGAAAATTTACTATGTCTTTCATAAAACATAATCTGAAATAACATCTGAGAGAATAACAGGTACGAAATACAAGTAAGGACAAATTATGTTTTATCAAAAAATGTAGTTATCAGTAAAGGGGTTGTGGAGATTGTTAAGTTTTTGATTGAGATCATGAACCGATTGATGTTAAAGCAAACGAAACGGCGGTCCAGTGCTTCCAGGTTTCAAATGGTGGTCTAACATTACTTGGTTCATGATCTCAATCAAAATATGTAGTCTTGAATCTGTGACAAACGATAAATAAAATTTGTCAATGAATCTGTAATTAAACCAACTATAAAGCACAACACTTTTTTAAGAAACAGGATTTCAGAAATAAACAGGGGTTGATTTAGATCCAACTCAAAAAGAATTGTTTAACCTAACGAAAATGCTTCTCCTTTGTTTCCGATTTTTTTCTCTTTTCCTTCTGTTTCATACATCGAAGCGAGAATTAAGAATATCTGGGTAGGATAACAAGAATTATTGTTGTCCCTGTAGGTCATCATCAGATGCCGACAAATCTCAGTATTATAAAATAAAAATACTTTGAAATTAACATGCTTATGCAACTAAAGCTGGTTTGGAATGAGTAAATATCACCATGATGGCGTGAAAATGCAAATAGAATCATCAATATTCCACGAATTGTCGCAACTCAATTCATTAAGTAAATGGCGGTTCTGGGACAGCGAAAATAGGAACAAAAGACCGTATATCTAAAGATTAAACTATGATATGAATTAAGCTCTGATATCAAGAATGATGACTAAATCTTTGCAACAAAATTACCTAGCGCAAACGACAAAAATGACACAATTATTCACCTACACTAAAACTCATCTCTAGCATTTAACGATCATTTATATGAACTATTTCAATCACAATTTCTCATTATCCTAATACTACCTCAGCCTTTTAATGTCGAATCGTTAAAATCAAAGTAATAAATGTTTAGGTACTTGCAGTTTGAGGTACTACGAATTGAAGGATGTAAACATTTTGACTTAATATTTAGCTTCATCCTTCGTGTGTTTGTTTTCACATTCAGTTTGACATCGTGTTTCGTCGCGAAATGCTGCTCCTCACACTAGAAGGATGTGCCTCCGAGATGCTTCGTTAGAACTAATGTGGTGTTTGTATGAATGAACGATTCATTTTTATTTGTTGAATGCTTGGTTTTGAATCCCAAATACAGTAAATTCGTTCGTGCTTATCTAGTACTTCATGATCCAATTGCGTCATTTCTGATATTCTTAGTTTGTACTATAATTTAAATACTCCTAATTATCACAACTATGCATCACACTTTTTTGTAATCTATCTTTTCATACCTCAAACTTCCATTTTGATTAGAACTTTTTACAAATATTAGATAACGAATCGTCAGTTTAAAATTCACCATGTCTTGGGTATTACGTAATTCATTTCTCTAAGATTTCAACACAAGCCCAGTTATTGCTAAAATGTGTGGCCTGGAATTGCATCTGAGGTCATGAGCAAGCAGGTTATCTAAGAGATTCCAACCATGTACAAAGAAAGCCTACTGTCACGCAATCTCATGACCATTATTTTAATTTAGTATGAAACTTGTATAAAGCACACCTTATGGCAGAATTGTGCATTATTACGTTAGTATTATGTCGCCAGTTCATGAACTGGATCAGATCTACTGACCGGTCCTTGCCACTGCATCCTTCCTGTTAAATAGTTAACACAGGTGATCCGACCAACATATTGCAGTTAGTACCTAATAGACACAAGAAATCATTGTTATAGATCCATGCCGCCTTTGCGAACGAAAAATCAGTGGAAAAAAACCAATTTACTTTTACATGCAAAATTACAGCGTTCAGAAAATATGAAAAACATACATTAAATATATTATTGTCACATTTTCCTTCAATTTCCCTTAACATACCCGATTATTTTTTTAAATATGTTCTTATTTCGATTGTTGGATGATCGCCTTC